CTCTGTCCAACCTGGCCTTGAACACTGCCAGGGATGGGGCATTTACCACTTCTCTGGGCAGACTGTTCCAGTGCCTCACCAGCCTCACAGTAAAGAGCTTCTTCCTTATATCTAACCTGAACTTGCCCTGTTTCAGTTTAAACCTATCACCCCTTGTTCTATTGCTACAGTCCCTAAGAAAGTGTCCCTCTCCAGCATCCATCATCTGCTTTGGCAGTAAATATTACAATTACTTATACAAAAGAAGTTATTTAAGTATATTATTATACACATTGTCTTTCAAACTACTCCCTATAACTAGTCATTGTAGCAAAGGGTAATGGAATTATCACTTATTAATGGTGAATCATTATTTTGCACATATATATCCTACCTCCTCTGACCTGATTGAAACAAAACCACACAAGTATTTTCACTTCAATTTCGTGTAATATTTTCCAATCTCTCTTCTTTGTTAGGAGACCACAAATTATTTATTCCAGGTGAATGTGAGCACTAGTTTAATAACATCCTTTGTGTTAACACAGCATTGCACAACAAATACGGCATTTTTTTCTGCCCAGTGCTAAGCATTAAGGAGGTACACATGTTCCAATAAAACCTTGTTTAAATCTCCCTCCCTTAATACACTTAACTTACAACCCAGTAACATGAACAAGTCATTTGATTATTCCAACATGCATATTCTTGAATTTATCAACATCATCTGCTGTGCTTCCCTTTTACCCAGCTTCCTTGGATTCCCTTTTCAATTTCTCAGTCATCTTCAATCTTGCCTAATCAAAATACTTCTGCATCATTAGCAAGTTTTGGCACACCATCATTCATCCAGTTTATTAGATCACCAACATACACATTCAACACCCTCTTTTCAGAGTTGTTTTTACATCACGTTGTGCTTTAAGGTTTACATTGCCTTAAAGTAAGAAAAAAAGAGTATTCTAAGTCATAAGAAAAAGTACACACCTGGAGGATTGGAGAGTGGTAGCTCCCAAAAGACTCACTTGGTGTTGAGCCAAGCTCAAATGCTAAACTCTTCACATGAGCAGAACACAAGAGTGCCACAACAGCTACAGCTCATCAGAGCAGGCCTGTAGCAGGTCAGTGTTCTCTTCTCCCCAGTACATCACCCATCCAACGTCACATACCCTTTGGTTTAGAAAACCTTAATAACAGTTAAATTTATGCTTAATTAGTGCTAAGTTTATAGTCCCTTAGGTACTTTCAGAAGTTTCTCACATACAGTTTATAGGATGTAAGACTGCCTATTAGGGCAGCAACGATGGAGGGGGATATATTTTAACCCAAATGTGCACGTTCCTCTTACGTGCTATGTGCTGCACCAGTCTTGCATCATTAACTCCAGACAGCATTTTGAGCCTGGATTTGCTGACCTTGAGTAGCACTTTGAAGGGCAGTCTTTAACACTTCTCTACTTTCCTCTGCATCTAAAGCAAAAAACACCAGTCACCATTGTTCAGATGGCATTCCATTTGCGTAGTTACATTACCTTGATTTGACCACGACCTAATCTTGCCAAATCACTAAAACTGGGACAAATTCCACTAGATTCTACATGGACATCGAATGTTAAAGACAGTGAAATTAAAATGCTCCTAATCCCTCAAACCTTCACATGAAGTCATCCTTGAATTGAGCAAATTTGCTTTCAAAACATATTTCATTATATTTATGTATTAACGAGTAAAAAAAACCCAAAACAACCAGATTTAGCTAGTGAAAATCATTCTCCTTAATTCCAATGAAAAATAGCTCAAACTGTGCTACCTTAAAGGAATCGGTAAAACCAATACTGAGATTTCTTGCCTACCAAAGCATGAACTGTGAATGAACAGATTAATATCATTTAAAGGTTTATTTAACCAGAAGAGGTGCAAGCAGAAGGATAGTGTGTGTACCTGCTCAACAAGGAAAGCCAAATCCGATTTACATCCAAGGACTAATAGTCAAAACCAATTCTGATTCTTCATAATTAAGTTGTACCTTGACACATCTTTTAGCTTAAAAAAGTTCAGCAAGCTCCAGTTTTGTGTTCTGATTGCCAAACACCATCAGGAGATGGGGAAAAGGAAAATGACCATCCCATTAACCCACACAACCCAAAAATACTGCCTCCAAATCACACTGTTTCACAAGAGAGATGAAGGCCAAGTCAACAAAACCCACCCAACCTGATACAGCAGCTAAATGACAGCTTTTGGACACTTGGACATCCACCCCATTGATCCTTTCACACTGCAGAGCTCTCCTGGCTCCCTGCAACAGCCCGAAGGAAAAAGGGAAGAGTCACGAACTGTAGTTCCTGTTCTTGAGGCTATTTCCACAGTCTCTGAATAGAGAACCACTAGATTTAACAAATGGAAGCAGACCTTTGCACATAAAGTTTCAGTGCCTCTTGTGCACAGGCATCCTCCTCACAGGAGGAACATTCACAGGGTAAGAGTTTGCTTTCAAAGACCAGGATCTGTCTCAGTGGAACTCCACAAAGTATAATACGCCATGGCATGCTGCACTCCATGATGGACTCAGACATAAAAAAGACCTTTATGGCATCTGCTCAGCATAAAAATTAAGCCTTTACTGAAATCTCCTTGTAATTGAGCTGGATGCACATGCACAGATTTATTGCATACCAAGTATTACAGCCTGGCTCCTGCAAAGACTTGTATACATGTTTATTATTATGGATATGAAAGAAATTCTGCGGTTTCAAAAGCACTATTCATGAACATGAATTTAAGCACACCGGTGGGTCTTCTGCAGGACCAGGACCCAAATGCACCTGAGCAGTGCTGCCTGCTGAGAGCCTTCTACCTTTTGTATCCCACCAGTAGTTTATACCCCCCTCAGCTGATTAATCATTGCAACAGAGAAGAACTTGCTTTCAGCTGAGGAGTTGGAGTTCAGTTACACTTTTCACACTCCATATACCTATGCTAAACTTGAATCCAGATTAAAATGAGCTCCTTAAGCAACATTTAATCAAACACAGCCCCACCGGATATTAAAAGACACAGAATGATGCATCTTTTAGCTTAAAAATGTTTTAGCTGCAGTGGTACCAAACAAATACAGGAAAAAGAAGCCACAAAGTTACCAGAAACATGTAGACAAGTCTTCTATTTTAACGTATTAAATACTGTCTCCAAAATTGGAGGAATCACTGGTGGCCAAGATAACTTGCTAAGTACACCAAAGCAGATGTATGTCATAGAAAGCCATTCCATACGTAAGTTACAACAACTGAGTCACAGGCCTCTGCTGGACAAGAAGGACCAGGAGAAAAGTCAGTCGCTGGTACTGACACTGGTTGCTAATTCACTCTCAGGAACACTGCACAAAGCTGCTTCTACTGTTACAGAAACATGGAAAAGTTATACTTAAAACTGGAAACATAGAACTCGGTTTGCTCAGCACAGACATCAGTCCTGCAGCCCTTGCTCTGGCCTTCATCTGCACCTCCGGATCCTCCGAGGCTGCATGGAGACAGTCATGCTCCTCAGCTTCTCCCACGCAAATGGAGAGGCAGAAGGGACAGCCACAAGCTCTGCCACAGGTTTTTGGAGCTACCTTTTAGCTGACGGGCTGCATGCTTCAAAGCCCAAATTTGCAAAGCTCCCAACTTTTGTATCACAACGTATTAGACACACACAAGTGCCCTCTGCCTGTAAGCAATTCTGGCACAGCCTCCTGAAGAAACCAAAATAAGTTGAGGAAAGTACTGCCAATACCAGAGCAGGGCCTAAAGCTTATTTGCATTCCTATACTATCAACACACACTTTATTTTACACCATGTAACAAGCACTAGGTGTCAGTGGCAGACCCCCAGAGGGCAAGAGCAAAAACTGGATAATCTGTATTTTGTCCCTCATACTCGATAGGACACTCTGAGCCAGACAACCAGAGAGCAGCTCCTGCTGGGACTGCCTCCCCTAACGGCTCTCCCCCCCAAAAGACCTGACTACCTTCTCTCGTAAGATGGAGGTTGGCAGGTGGTGGCTTGTGATTTGGGGGGGAGCCATTTTATATGTCTAGTGTTCCAAACTCTCAAGAACTTCAGCATAGAAAAGTGCTTTTGGAATAGGCAAACCCAGGAGCCATCACCCACACGGAGTTTAAAGACAACAGAAAGAACTGGCTTCTGGTAAAAGCATTTCTTTCAGCTACAGTTTCAGGCTACATGCCAAAAACCCCAGATCACTTTTTGGGTAACACCACACTGAATCCAAACCTTTACTGTTACACTTACTTACTGTTACCTTACAATGTTTGTTCCCACCTTGTTAAAGTCCCAAACAGCCGAATAGTTGCTTATGAATGGCAACATGCGAATATTTTATGCAAATCAGAGCTACAATGTTCTCGATAGGAAAGCCCCAGCACACATTATTGTATCCACATACCGCACATACATTATCTAACGCTCGTCCCAAATACAGCCCGATAAACAGAGCTCTGCCGAGACCTTAACAATTCATCGACTCCGCCACATCAGGAATGAGAGCAGATGTCAGTCCTGCCCGCACAACTAGGCGTTACAGAGCTGCTCAAGACGGCCACTTTAGCCTTGACTGTAACTTAACAAAGAACAAGGTAAACCCCCGAGCGGGGGGACGACAAACACAGGCACACCGCGCTGTAAATACGAGTAGCCTGCCCGTTCCTAGCTACTTACAAATACCTCTTGATTTTATACAAACGCCGCGTTATCTGGGTGCCTACCAGATTAAATTCACGGGCTGGAAGGGCCATCAGAGGCTTGTTTACCGCAGGTCACCGACTGGCATTTGTAACCCAAACTTAGCTCTTTTGGTAATTTACAAGCAGCAGCGTTCGTAGCTGCACACCGAAGAGCACAAGCGAGTCTGACGCGGGTGTTCCCGCAGAGTAAAAGGCTGATTCAAAGTCAGCGCGGCTGGCCGACAAGCGGCGGGGACGCTCTCCAGCCCAAACTCGAGCGAACTCCGCAGCTCCTTACCTGCTCGGCGGCGGCTCCGGCGTTACGCGCTCCCGCAGGAGGGGAGGCTGGTGGGGAGGCAGACCCGCTCCCGCCGCCCCGGCCCGGCCACCGTGGGGAGCTTCGGCGGGGCGGCCGGGAGCTGGGGGGGGCCGGGGCGCCCTGAGCTCCGGCTGCCGCCCGCGGGGTGCGGGCAGGAGGGAGGCTGAGCGTAAGAGAAGGAGGGAGGGGACTGGTGTCCCGCGGGGGCGAGTGGGGCCAGTGGCGGGCGAGCCGGAGGCGGCGGGGCCGGGGCAGGGCTGGGGCCGGGGCGGCGCGGGGAGTCACGGCTTAGGAATGCCAGGAATGTGGGGCGGCCGCGAGGCCCGGAGACGTCGGGGACGCGACTTGGGATTTCCTTTCTCTTTTTCTCTCTTCAAACTACTCCCCCTTTCCCCAAGGAAGGAGGAGGGCCGAAACCCACCCTGCGGAGGAGGGAAAAGAAGGAAGGGAGGAAGAGGAGGGCGCAGGCTCCTGCCAATCCGGACGGGTGCCGGCGGCAGCCCTCCCGAGGAGGGCAGAGCTGCCAGGTGCGGGGCGCCTGCTTTGCCTCGACTCCCCCGTCCCGTCCCTCCCCTCCCGCGGCCCCGCCCCTGCGATCCCGAGGGGTGTCGCGGCCGGGAGCCGGTGCTGGAGCCCGGGAGGGATGGGAAGGGAAGGGAGGCTCGGCACAGCACGGGCCTCGGAGCTCCGGCGTTCTCTCCCGTGCGCAGGGCCGCCCGCTGCCTCCCTTCTGCCGTTCCACAAGTCCCTGCGCATCTCCCGCTGGCTTGGCGCTACAGCATCGCTTCTTCTGCCCTTCAGATCTGCACTCCTGCTTTTCCCATTTCAGACCCTTCGGTCTCCTGCATTCTGTGTGACCCTCGCTTCTAGAAGAGTGGTCATCCCTCTAGCTGCCCACAGAGCAGGAGACAGGCTGAAAAAATACCCATGGTGACCTCATGCATGTGCCTTGCTGGACAGCAAGCAGGGGAAGACTGAAGTTGGCTTGAAACAGGGTGGTTGGTAACTACGTGAAATGCCCAGAACACCTGGTGCTTTGCAGGTGCAGGAAATCCCTCCTGATTGCTGCTCTAAGAGAGAGTAGGGACAGAGAGTGCAGAGTGCCATCAGGGTGGCTGGGGCTACCAAGGGATGTTGAATGGATCACACGGGCCAAAGAATGGTGTGTTAGGAATGACATGTAGATGCTTCTGCGTTGTCATCAGTGATAGACAATTTGCAGGATGGTTTTGTCCTTAAACTACATTAATATAAAGTGATTCACATCCCCCAAAGTGTATGCAAATGCCTCTGGTACCAGTGGGCACCTGTAGGAGGTACCCCTCTGAAACTGTGACACCAAAAATGAAGGACTCTTACAACCATGGCAAATGATGAAAAATAGTGGTAAATGAGAACTGATACCATTTTTGAGTTGCTGTGCTTTTTTGCCTTTTGTACACGCTACTGAAGGATACGTGAGTAGATTTGTTGGAGTCAGGCTTACTCAGATTATTAATGGCAAAGAGGATCAGGAGCTGAGAGATGGAGAAATAACACAGATTCTTGATTTGGATAGATAAGTAATTGTATTTAAATACTGTATGTGGAATCATAGGCTTATGCCTTACCTCTGGCATAATATTCTAATTACATTTTGCAAGGAAAGTCCTTTTCATCTGAGACTCTCAAACATTTTACAAACACCACACCTTAATGAAGTAAGTAATTATCCCCATTTTACATATGGCTACACTGAGGCACTAAGAAGCGACACCACGTAAGAGCTGAACTTGAATTGTACTTGACCACATGTAGATACAGAGCTTTTGAGTAACAATCTGAAAGAAACATCAGGTGTCAGAACGAGGTGATAAGATGGTTCGTAGAGGGGCTGAGCTCTGCATTTATGCAGCTCAGCTTTATGCCAGAAAACAGCTTTCCCTGACTGAGTGGACAGTTGCCCAAGAGGACAGTGTGCGTCAAAACTAGGGTTTAAATTGTCTGGTTCCCAACAGGTTCTCCCCATGCTGGGGCAGGTGTAAGGATCTTGTTTTCAAGACAATAAATACTGACTTTTGTATCTGTGCCTCAAGGCAGTGGCTACCTGAAGTCTTTTAGTGGAATCCCTGTTTTGCCCCTGGACACTTTCGCTTTCCTAGGTGCCTGCATTTGAAGTAAACTTAATAACTGCAAAATGAAATAATGTGGCAAGAAGCACGAACATGCTGACAGATGCAAAGGGTTGGAGGGGAGATTTTATGTGTTGGCTGTCTACAGGATGCGGGCCTCCAGAAAAACAAAAACTACCTAGAAGAAGTATAATCAGAGTAATTGTCATCAACAGCTGTAAGACCAGCTGAACCCACTCTGTAAAATGAATTGTATTTCAGACTTACCCAAGCAAAAGAAGCTCCCAAAACTGGGAATGGTGAAGATTATTAATTTTCCATGAGATTATTTAATGCAGTCTGTATTAGACTCTCAGAGACTGTAGGTGCTTTAGAAAAACCAAGCTTCCCAGAAATTATAGCCAGTTACTGCAAAGAGTCTTCCATAAGGAAATGTGTTGGTGCTACTACAGATTTCTGGGACCATTGAAACCTGGAATCTTCACATGCATCTTTGTTCCCTGATAGCTGTCAGGAATATACAACCCTGGGATTAAACCCAACAGTTCCTACCTGCTTCCTGGGGACTGGTTTCCTAAAATACTAAAACTAGATTAGATGATCCTCACACTATGTTAAAATGATACAAATCATTGATTTGGTTCCAAACCCCTGTTCTGGTTCAGATTTGTCCACTAAACCTTGATGGTAAATCTTCTATCAATCATATGTAAACTGGATTACATATTACCCTTCTGTGCTGCTGGGGAACCATGTTACAGCAATTTGTTACTATTTTTTTGTCTGCGAAAGTGACAGCTCTAAATTGTATTTAGAGACTCTATTGACTTGCTGTAATGATTTATGGACTTTACCTCCAAAATATTTCCTCTGCTCTGGTATAATTTAAATTTTATACCGGCTCCTTCTGCAATTTCATCAGCATGAAATGGGGAATAACTTATTGACAGGACTGTACCTCGGTTACCTTAGCTACCAGCCTTCAGTCTGATCTCAGGCATGTAGCAGCACATCCCTGTGTCTTAGTTTTCTTATCTGAAAACTGAGATAATGATAGTGATCTGAAGAAGTGCTTTTTGAGTCACAGATGAAAACACTGTATAGGAGAGAGACTTTATTTTTTTTCCAAACTGTGGTTTTGACAGGCCTGAATGCTGTCTCAAAACCCTTGTGAAAATAAAGCTCAACACCGTGCAGTTTGACCAAATGGTTAGCTGTCAGCAGAAGAAAACTGATTTTATCTGGGTCAAAATACAGGAGACATTTGTTATGTCAATGTTATCTGCAGATATGTGCAATGAATTCTGAAGTGCCTTAGCACCTCGCTAGCAAGACCTCTTTTGAATGTGTTTAAATTGAGGCTAAAGTTAGAGTCTTGAGTCTTGTTATAACATGGAAAAATCTCAGTCCTTGTTGGCTGGTGAAACCATGTCATAACCTGTTTCATATAAAACTGTCTTTAAACTGTGCTTAAGCAAGAGCTGGTGGTTTCTCCTGTGAACAGCAGATGAAGTTTAATTAGTCTTACAGTCATCTACATTACAATCAAATCAAAGAATGCAGTTGCAACACATTCCCAATTTGTATTGTAAATGTGACCCTAACTGTGTTCCTAAAATCTCTGTCATGTGCTACAGCTGGGTACACTGACCTGACTGTAACATAAGGAAAAACTTCGTGCACCAGCCGAAATCCCCATTTCTAAAATCATATTTGTTCTTAATAAACTTATAAATATTTGAAACTGACAAAAAGAAAAAATGGAGGAGGGGGGAAGTTTACTTCTCTAGTATTCTGTGCTCTCATTAATTATTCCATTTAATAGTGCTTCTCAAAATCATCTCTTGGAAAAGGAATTTGGATTACCCAATGTTGGAAAACAAACCTGCTGCCACCAAGCATGAGCCAACATGTTCTAGTACTCTACGGCTTATCACAAGTGAGCCAGCACCCAGTTTTGAAGAGTAGAAAAAGTCTTGGTTGATTATCTGTGCAAATAAACTCTGCTGTGTTGGATATTCTAATTTGCTTACAGCTGTATTCTGCCTGAGGACTTCATCTCTGTGCCTCTTTTCAGCTCTGCAGTAAGAGTTGTACAATGAAAAGCTTTTTAGTATGTGTGAATAAAGTAATGAACTTTTGATTCCAGAGTTGTAAGTACTTCAAATGGGGTTTAGGCAAGGAATATATCTTTCCATGCCACTGTTAAAACTGCTCTCCAAACTGGAATAGTCTAATGACAGAATGAATAACGTTTTCCCAGTTTTCATGGATTATCGATTTGAGTACTTTTAAATGTATCCTTTAGCATGGTCTTCAGACTTCTGAAAGCAGTGGTCTCCTGAACACACAAACAAAAAATCCCTAGCTTTTGACAGCAGTTAATTCAGCAGCATGCCCAGAAGCCAGCACACACCAGGATTTGTAGGTGTTTTAGTGACTGCTCACTTCTGATAGTCATAATTTTTATGCCTCTCAGCATGGATTGAAGTGTCTGACCGTGGGTACACAGTTGAAAGTACTTAGAGATAAATGGTTTCTTGAGAAAGCAAAGAGCTAACGCTATAATATAAAATGTGGTTTGGGGACCATTACAAACTTGCATAGCTTGAATTTAGCCATTAATGTTTGTTTCGCTCTCTCAAATGGGTGTAAGGCCATGCTTGGGTGTGACAGTTCTATGAAACCCCATATTTAAGACTTTCTGAAATCAATAGTGAGGTGCACTGTAGAAGAGTAAGACCTCAGGTGGATGTACCTCAGCTTTTTGGAGTCTGTATGTTATTTCTAAAAGAGCCCTGATTCTCATTCTCACTTTTGGTCCAAATAATAGGAAAATTGGTCTTAGTTAGAGCACTTTGGGAATGCTGAGATGTATATGTAAATACTGTTTTCTATGCTGACTATCATTTGCATGACACAGTAGATACCCTGGAGAGATATAAAACACTTACAAACATTTTCCTGGAAAGTATTAATACAAAAATGATATGAGAAGTACCAATAAAACCGTTGGAATTTAGACTTGGAAGAGGTAAGGAGATGAGGTGATTAACCAAAGTCCTTAAGACATAGAACGCAGTTGTTTCCTCCTTGCACATTTATTTATTTATTCTATTAGATCAATTCAATTGACTGTTCATAAACTCTGGCTGTTTAAGATGGGTTTCCCATTACAATTAGTTGGGTGACTGAAAACTCACTTTAGAACTTGCCTTAAAAATGGCCAAAGTACTGTTTAGGTGGTTATGGTGTGTGTAAGATAAGGAGCTGTACTTTTATCTATTCAACCTTCTAACAGAAACATCAAAAGATTTCAGAGACAGCATTAAGCTAGGTAGAAGCTAACAAGGAATTTTATTTGTTTCTCATGAATGGTGTAGGTGATGTTCTTTATTTCACTGGCTGATAAAAGATTGGACCAGTAGGTGAACACAATAAGAAGCAA